TTAAATAACGTCTGCAACACAGTCAAAGTTACAACCAAATCGGGCAAATCGTTTCTGTAGATATAGAAATGACTTGTGAGATTGTCATCATGACATTACCTCAATTTTCATCTATAACATATCCCCCAAATCTGACATATGATTATACATATAAGCCTAAAATACACCTGCATACACATCATCATGACATCACTTCTCAGTACACACCTACTGGAATTTGTATCCTTTGGGAGTCATTTCTTTGTCTCGTGTACTAAAATGTTAGAGTTTGCAAGTTTTGTCTCAAAATGCTCCTATTTTTACCAGAATTAATTGGAAATTACTGGAAATTAACCTTGCAATCCCTAGTTTTTGAGTAAAATCCATATATCTTTTCGTGATAACCTTGTGGAGACGTATTCACCTATAGAAATTGAGCTGTGGAGACGTATACAATCTTTTGTTCCCTATTATTCACATGTGTTCCCTTTTATTCACAGGGTACCGTGTACCAAATCATTTTTTTAAGGGGAGGATCACGCAACGGTAAGGTGTAGATATGGCACGCTGTTATACGGGCACTGCACTCTATACTGCCACGGGTCTACTGGAGGGTCTACTAATGTAAAGCTAAAAAATATTAATTCTATTTGAAATCTTTTTGGGGGTGCCACCCCACAAAACACGAGTATACTTTAAAGGTACGCATGAGTACGTTTCAGACAAAGGTAAAGGGTTCTTAATTGCAGTTTTATTAGGGCGTTAAATCTCGTTTCATTTGTAGGATTGATTATTGACACCCTTATTATTAACTGGGATACGCACTTTGATTATGTGAACACAAATTTCGAGAAAAGTTGGGATTTTACATAACTTATGGCATATTATCACACTGATTATCTTGTGTAACCTGTAGTGACCCCACATTAATTATGGTCTTGAAGAATTGGATGGCATATTCCATACTTACTTAAACAGAGAGTGTCATTATTAAACAAAAACAATGGCAGTCCGAGCTATTACTTTCTCGAAATACAATTAACATTCTGCCCCACTACTCAGTAAACTCCAAATTCGTGCCATAGTTAAACTGGATAGAATTGTATTAAGTGCATATAATGACTTGAACCACATTCCTCGTGCCTTTTCTTTGTGTAAAGGGTTTACACAACACTGCATTTGTCATTTTCTTTTTTTTACGCTAGAACTATATTGTGGAATGGAGTACCAACCTCTATCAGAAACAAACCTTCGGGGGCTTTTGTAAATCAGCTTTGATGGAATATTTATTTCGTGATCACCTTGTTTATAATAGTTTTTGCTTTCTGGATTATACTAGGCTGATAAATCTGCCTACATAAAGATCACTGCCAGGGATGCTTTCGTGTAAGCTAAAGTATTCTTTTTCGCGGAAGGGGCTTTCGAAATAATGTCCCAGGACAGTTTCCATACGGGAAGCCAGTCATGATAAAAATTATTTGCTCGATCGATTCATGTAAATTAATGCGTCCCTGGCACTGTGTCGAGGGATATTCTAATAATTAGCAAGCATGCTGGCCCTTTGACCCATTAATTATTGTACTTGCAATCATGAATAGAGGTTATTCTCCCAAAATAGTACCGGACAAACAGTTACATATACAATTCCATACCTTATTTTATATAACTGATCAATAGTGTAAACTTGTTGATCTGTAAACTGATTCATTCGGGTATAGAAAATGATAATAATTATATGAATTTTTTTGTTGATTGTTGATAAACAGAATTGGGATATGGCATACCTTGATAATATTGACAATCAATTTTATATATATATTTTTTTTAATCTTTTCATGTAATTAAAGCAGTTCATGCATTAATTGCTACCTAACATTTTATTAATTAAATAACAAGTTAATGTACATACATGTACTTATTTGATAAACTGAATCATATATAATTATAAGTTCATAAACGAATATAAATATTGAGATTGCGATACCTTAAACATTTTGATATCCTTTTCTGTGGAATTGTGACGAACCATTTTATTTTATTCCTCAGTGCAATCTTGATAATTAATAAACTAACCTTTTAATATCATATTTTAATTATTACGCTTTTAAAGTTTTTTGAAGGTTCTTTTTAGGAATCAAAATGGGAATAGTATCGTATTGTATTTTCGTGGTAATTAATTTTGTTCGCCGCCATGATGGTTTTTAATAAAGCTGTCTAACTATATGTTTCCTTGTATCTCTCAATTGGGTATTAATAAACCCAACCTAACTTCCCTGCTACAAAAAGGCTGCATATGCACATATTCACTGTAGTTACTTACCTATATTTGAGTGTACCAGCAAATCGCCCGCCCCGTTTATATGAAAACAAGGTGAGGAAACCTTGCCTTCGTTAGGGAACAGGTAAATATTCCTCTGGAAAGTACAAATGTATTCATACTTGGTCCGGTCAAGATCGATGGCATCCATAGAGCTGTATAATTATTCAGCTCTATGATGGCATCCTACTGAATAGCCAGCCATCAGTGAACTGCGTCACAGACTGAGGAGTGGCGTGATCAAGCTATGATCACATGACCAGCGGGCTGGGCAAAACCATTAATTGACAGAGGTCTATTTGATGTGAAGTACAGACTTTGCGTTTTAATTTCAGTAATTCTACAGAGCAACGATAATTTGAAGTCACTTATAGCATGTTAATCATACATCTAGCTCATTAATGATGCACTTTTACTAAGAACAAAATATCAGACGATGACTGAATTATGCATGTTTTCAAAAATATTACCTAAAATTTGGCACTGTCTGGAATTTTTCGAGCTATGTAATGCTTTTATAGAAATGATTACAAATGTTTAGTATAGGATGTGTGTATAGGCACCCGATTCAACTAGCCACCGTTGTTAATAAGTGAGGCTTGTGGACGTAATACGCCAGGTTATAAACATGACCGTTATATATTACCGTATCATGTAATACAAAGGGACACGATAATAAACGAGGCGCGTGCATATTGCGTGCAGGGCTCGAGTTAATGCATACATTGTATGCGAGGAAAACTGTCGATCGGTGGCGCTTTTCAAGATGGCTACTGTACTACGAGCTAATCCGAGCAAATCGTACGAAATACATCGACTTTTTTCAACGTCCTAGTACATCACTAGTGAGCTACAAGTACAGTGAAGGTGAGTGGTGGGTGTTTGATCGTGTCTCATGACTTCTGATGTCAACCTATGTTTGTTTTGTTTCGTTTGGTCCATTTCAGTCACCGATTGACAACACATGATTGAGAAAAATAAACCACATGTGGCCTATTTACTGGACTGCCTCCGTAAACATAGGCCACACATCCACATGTACAAAAACGTGTCGCACTTTGCCAAATTTTGATTTTCACATTTATTTAGGCTTAGTTTGTAGGTTTTTTTTGCTTTAGCACGTTTAGAAGCATACTCACCCTCTTTAATATACATGTAGGCTAATCAAAAAGTGCTGCCTTTTTTCAGATGTCTACTTTTCGTGAAATTTCCAGATACATTTGCAAACGTTTGCGTATCACAATTTCAACATGAAAGTTCACAAAAATTAGACATCTAAAAAATGCAGCACTTTCTGATTAACCTATAAAGAGGGTGAGAATGCTTCTAAAGCAAAAAAAACCTACAAACTAAGCCTAAATGTGAAAATCAAAATTTGGCAAAGTGCGACATGTTTTTGTGCATGTGGATGTGTGGACTTTGTTTACAGAGGCAGTCCAGTAAATAGGCCATTTTTATGGGGCTACCTCCCCACCCCCACTTATTGGTAAAGCCTGTGAAGAAATCGACCAGATAAGGAAAAACATCGTCATCACTGCCTAGTGTGTGTGTAACTGAGGAACTGAGGGAGTGAGATTTAAACTGTTAATATGAGGCCTACTTTATCGCGATCGTGAAGTGTAGGCCCCTGTTTTGTTTTGTTCAAATTAGAGTCAAAAATATTTTTTATTGCTCAAAAATCACCTTTACAATCAAAAGCAGACTTTTCTCAATCCTAATGACACCCATTTGGCAATTTTGAACAGATTCTTGGGGTAGAATTTAGTATTGTTTATTGAGAATATCGCCAACTAGCTGACTAGTTTGGTAGGTCCAATAATTTTAAAGTGGATTTTGTTCCCTTATAGGAACCAGGCCCTACACTTCACAATCACCGTTAACATGACCATGCACTTATTTATCACAGCATATAGGGGGCCTAATTAACCCAAAAATGTGTTCCTTCCTCCATGGTCAGACCCAAGGTTTGTGAATAGCAAGTGGTCACATTTTTCCCCAGTCGAAAATACCCCTCTAAGTCTTAGTAGGGTAATGTCTGGACAAAGATACCTATTGCCATTATGTTGGTCCTGTCCAGTATTTACTTAGATGTAGATGTAGAAACTACCAGGGGTAGACGAGGGCTAGGGAAAACAACAGTTTAGGTGGCAGGTAGGGCCATTTTTTTTTCACGGCTTATGACATGTTTTGACATGGCTCTGAAAATAACTACCCCAACTCTATGTCACAATCATAGTATCAATTGGAGCTGGTGTTTCCTATTCTAAATCTGACTTTTAAATCGGTGATTAGCTTGATTAGGCCAAAAAAAAAAGTCTCCGGTTTCTGGTATGCGCGTGTCGCCGTAGCCATGCGCGTCGGCAAAATGAAAAAGTTTTTTCCAATGAAAGATGATGTCTGAAACCGCCAAACTCACTGGTTTGACTGGAATCCTGCTGCTGCACAATTTTAACGTGTTTTTAGATGGGGTTATGATCGAGAATAAGCTTTATGTGGCCTCTCTGGACTCCCATATATTTTCACTAAGTTTAGTCGGGCACCATTTGCAGTCATCAGCTGACATTTGAAGCAAAAAAGTCCGGTAAAAAAAAAGCCGCGTTGCCGCACCACATTTTGGACAAGCTCCATACCAGAAACCGGAGACTTTTTTTTTTGGCCTTCGGATGATATTTGTCAAAAAATACAAAACAAGAGTTCTGCTTCCTATAACATGGCATTTGAAATTAGGTTAGGTACACAATGTACATGTAGGTAGGGACTAGGTAATGTGTTTTTTTTTGTTTTGTTTTTTTGTACGATCATATGAAAGTTGCCTGCGTGTACATGTAGTCAGTCCAGGGTAAAAGTAGCCTTAGTCAAGGCGTTTGCCATTATCTGTCCATACGGTATTTGGTATTCTTGGGTCGAGACGCTCCTTGTGTTTTTATTCAACCAATGTGTAATCAACTCAAAACCATGAATCATCACGGATAGAGGGCACCATCTCCTGACCAATCGCTACCACACACAAACCGCTATCACAGCATCAGCCACGAACTGCTATCACAGTGAGCGTCTCGGTGCTCTCCTATGATATCTCTCCTATGATATCATGTGACATACATGTAAAGGTAGTGAGCTCAACATGCATACACATGTATTCAACAATGTTCATCAGACTAAGTACATGTACGAGGCTTCAACACATGCCAGCATATCTTATGTCATATGTCTGCTTGAACGTACATGTACATGTACATGTACGTGTGTTGTCTGTAAAAAAATCGTTCAGCAATGCCTTTTAGTTGTGTGCAACTGCTAGGCTATTGGTGGAAAGTTTTGATGAAGTGCGGCATAGTGGTGGTAAACATGTTACTAGCAAAGCTTTTGCCGACATTTGCAACTAAATGTAAATGACTAAAATAACTTACATGTAAAAGTTGTGATGGAAATTTATTTTATCTGAAATATGGATAGTTCTGGATCCATGTTTTGAGCACTGAAAAGATGGTTGTGCAGTTCCAGCTTGATTAACATTTTGGTTTCGCAGATGCCGGAAAACCAAGAAAAACGATCATGTTTTTTGTAGTCTGGTTCCCTGACCCCACTTAAGATAAAACGGAGCAATTTATATACGTCAGAGAATTGTAAGGACATCAGGGAATTGGTCTAGCTACGGTATCTTGTACCCGTTCACAGGTGTGTGATCGATTGCAAAGAAAGAGCGGATTAACTACATGTAAATATGATAAATTGGGAGGAGTATTTGAGAAAAAAAACTCTTCCACCTTTTCTGTGAATGTGGAGGAAGAGGCTGTAAACACAAGGAAATATACTGCGAAGAAAATAAAGCAGTGCAATGCTGGTCGGCTGACTAGTGTTGGAAATTGATTAAAAAAATAGCATTTTAGCAAAAAATAGCATGTCCAGTAATTATATTTTGTTAGATTTTGGTAGTTTTGTTTTGTGATGTTTACAAATGTTGTAGGCCCTGTTATCCCTGTAAACATAAACTCTGGTTCAATAAGGGCCAAGGTACATGTAAATGTCACTTTTGGTAATATGGTTTGAAATGTTCTCATTTTGTTTGCCAGATGCCTAAATATCGGCCAAACGTTTTTAAGCACAAAGTCACTGTTCTCTCTCGGTCATCAAAGGGAGGAAGATTTAAGCGGAAGGATGTACCCCTGAAGGACCTTTTTTCATCAGGGCCCTCAGATACCCAACAGGTACTTTTTAAAATAGTTATGAAAACTAAGAATAATAATGTAGTATAATGTTATGTACATGTTGCATTTGTATTGCACAAATTTCACGTGATATGCTGAAATGCGCATCATAATTATTACCCCTGTTCATCATGAATGAGACTATTTTTCTGCAGCAGCTTGAGATCAGTGCAATTTGGTCTCTACCTTCACAGGTACATGTACCCATTTATACTCCTGGGTGGAGGGAGGTAATCACAGTAAAGTGTCTTGCCCAAGCGTGGAAACACAATGTTCCCGTCAGGATTCATACCCATGTACAATGTACCTTGGCAAAAGAGTGAAACGTCCACTTCGAGTTTCGAAGTAGTTATTTCTATTATAATGCACAATCAATACAACAAACGACTATTTAGGGAACATTTTTTATGGACCCCATCATGTTTGTTAAGGTAGCGTTATACATGTACTGTATTATACAAATAACGAATGTTTGTGAGTGCGATGGTAAGAATAATTTCATGAGGTGACAGATTGAATGTTCGCCTCGTGGAATAGAACATTCAATCTGTCACCGAATGAAATTATTCTTTCCATCGCACGAACGTAAAACATTCGTTATTTGTTTTATACAACACCTTCCAATCGTCGGACAGCATACTGAATCTGTCTTTTTGTACTGGGAGCATCTGAGTTAGTTACAAGATCTGTTATTTCTTCATCGGTAAGGAGCATAAACCCTGTACTACAATCGCCTGCCATTTTGTTTGTTTACGCAAAGTAGCTATGTGTATAGCGCCGCCAGTCGAAGGCATTCGTCCTTACTGCGCATGCGCAAAGTGAAACGGTATAACACATGGGTATAACGCATGGTCGCACCGTACATTATACCGCATAATAATATGTCACGTGATCTACAATTCACCAATCAGATGACGGGGATTTATTCAGGTGTTGTATAAACATGAATAATTGAGGTTGTGTATTTAGTCGTAATGTACTTCTACATACTGAGTACTGAACCATGTTCACATTGTTCCTTGTTTTTTTTTGTACAGGTAGCTGAAAATGATTAAATAATAGCATTGAGCTGTACAATTTTTATGCCCCGCGGCGAAGCCGAAGGGGCATACTGTTTCCGCCTTGTCCTTCCGTGGGTGGGTGGGTGGGTGGGTGGGTGTGTGGGTGGGTGGGTGGGTGGGTGTGTGGGTGGGTGGGTGTGTGTGTCCGGACAAATCTTGTCAGCGCGATAACTTGAGAAATACTTAACATATGAACTTCAAATTTGGTTTGTGGATTGTCCTTGGTAATCCTAAGAAGCCTTTTGCATTTGGGGCCGAAAGGTCAAGGGTCAAGGTCACAGTGGCTGAAACAATAGAAATTTTGTCAGCGCGATAACTTGAGAAATACTTAACATATGAACTTCAAATTTGGTTTGTGGATTGTCCTTGGCAATTCTAAGAAGCCTTTTACATTACGGGCCAAAAGGTCAAGGGTCAAGGTCACAGTGACTAAAACAAAAGAAATTTTGTCAGCGCGATAACTTGAGAAATACTTTACATATGAACTTCAAATTTGGTTTGTGTATTGTTCTTGGTAATCCTAAGAAGCCTATTGCATTTGGGGCCGAAAGGTCAAGGGTCAAGGTCACAGTGGCTGAAACAATAGAAATTTTGTCAGCGCGATAACTTGAGATATACTTTACATATGAACTTCAAATTTGGTTTGTGGATTGTCCTTGGCAATCCTAAGAAGCCTTTTGCATTTGGGGCCAAAAGGTCAAGGGTCAAGGTCACAGTGGCAAAAACAAAAGAAATTTTGTCAGCGCGATAACTTGAGATATACTTTACATATGAACTTCAAATTTGGTTTGTGGATTGTCCTTGGCAATCCTAAGGAGCCTATCGCATTGGGGGTCGAAAGGTCAAGGGTCAAGGTCACAGTGGCTAAAACAATAGAAATCTTGTATTTATTCTGAGATCATAGGGATTAGGGATTAATTCATATAAAACCTACAGAAGACACTAATGCTGTCAATGAACGTTCCATTTGACCAAGGTACATGTAATTTGATGTTAGAGTGGTGTTATGTCATGGAAACAGTCACGGTTGCGGGGCATTTGTGTTTGTAAACACACCTGACTTGTTTTTTTTCTTTTTCTCTACACCACCTTGATTCAGAAGCCTCAGGAAATCCAACATGAAATAAGTGTTGCTCCCTGTACCTCTTCCACCTTTTCTGTGAATGTGGAGGAAGAGGCTGTAAACACGAGGAAATATGCTGCGAAGAAAATAAAGCAGTGCAATGCATGGGTAGGCAAGAGGCTCTTATTAGAGAATGCCTTCTTTGAGAGCAGTGCTCCTCATCTTCCATGTTGCTCCTGTGGGACAGATGAGGGAGACAGAGTACTGTGTCTTGACTGTGGCCCACAAGTCGTCCGCTGCATTGACTGCACAATGAGCTACCATGAAGATAGCAATCATCTCCACAAGCCGCAGTTGATTTTGGTAATTCTTATCTCTGTGATAGTGCAAATGTAAATTAAAATCAAGCAGAATCTATGGGACAGTTGTTATGAAACAAATATTGACTGTTATAAATTGAACCTGATGTACATGTACATACATGTAGTAAACTAGCCTACCTCGGTGATGCATGATGCATTTTATTTCCGCTCATCTTTGCCTCCGTAAAGTATATAATGCTTCATGTCAGTATATTTCATTTTACTTCAACTCTTAAAGCAGTCCTGATGTTGTGTGGGTGTGTGTGTTTATGGTGTAAATCAAGGACACAAGTTCAACATCATCAATGAATCGAGGACAACAGGAACCAAATGGAGGACAACGTCGATTAGAAAACGTGTACAAACCCAACGAGAGCAGTTGCAAAAAAATTGGTGTATAAATAAAGGAAAAGGGAAGGGGAACGATAGAAATGTGGAAAATGTGTACAAAACCAATGAGAGCTGTTGCAGAAAAGTTCGTACAAACAAAGGAAAGGGAGAGGAACAAAACAAAATCCTTGATTTACACCATAAACAAACGTGACAGAATATGTGTTGGTACCGGTATGTTAAAACCTCTATACAAACTTTTGTAAATTTCATATCATTGAGTGATATTTTAGTCATCAATGTGATGTACATACAATGCCCTCTCTTACCAGGATGGAATTTTGCAACCTTTTCCTCTCAAACCTTACCTGCGGAGAGTGGACCATGACTGTGACAGTCGTTCCCGCAAGACAATCCAGGTGTTTGATGAAAAAGGTACAACTCAAGTGGTTTTTGTCTCCATTTGTGGCTTTTCTTTTTTAACATGTTTGTGTGTTTTTTATTGAGAGTCTCACATATGACTGAAAATTAAAACAAATCATTGGCAAATATTTTCTTCATGCACTTGCGTTGCAAGAGCATTGAGAGTTCACCTTCTGACACATTTGGCAGGGAACTTTTTCTTTCAACACTGCACTTACATGTGTAAATTGTGTGTCCCAAACAAGAATACTGTTTCTGAAAACATTCATCGACCAAATTCAGGTATAATAAAAGAAGCAGTTCGCATACATGTATCCCCTTTATACATGTACATACACAATTCTTACATCTTTGTGTATTTTGCATTAACCATGTGTGTTATCGTAATGAATGTGATTACAATATTTGAGAACTCCATTTGAGAACTCCATTTGAGATCTCCATTTGTATGACCCTAACAGCTGAATCTCAGCAAATGCCCTCAAGAACTTTTTTTTATTTTGTTTGGTATTTTGCTCATGTTTCAGGACGACTTCACAACTGCTGGCTAGTTACATGCTCATGTGAGGAAGAATGTGCTTCTTTAGTCCGGTTAAACTTATGGCCAGCCTCACCAGACCAACCACGGGTAGCTTTTCACATGGATTTGATGAACCTACTGCATTTCCTCCTTCTAGAGGGGCATATGTCACTGAAAGGTGCATGCCAATCCTTGGGCTGTAGAAACGGACTTCCATTGCATGAGGTATGTGTGCTCCCTATGTTGGGCCGATAATGAAAACATTGGACCTGGAGTACACTGCATAAAGTTTCATATACATGTAGGGCTTTGGCCACAATGAGTTGTTTTGATAGTGGAGACATTCTTTAGATTGTCCCCCTCTTTTCCCATAGAGTTGTGTTAGGGTACACAAATTTCAACCTGCCTTTGTCATAACTCTCACAAACTGCCAAAAACCCAACCACTACCTGTCCCGTAGCTTTTACCCCCTATAGATTAAAGTGTATAACAGTCAAAGCCCAATATGAAGTGTTTTGATGTATGTAGGTAAGCATAAATGTGTAGCGATGCCTCGGTCACTCACCAGTGCTGACCCACCACATCTATCATATGTCAATCAAGCGTGGTACCCTCAGTTAACAATACTACCACAGCCTACCAATGCATGTATGAGGCCAGTGTCACTGTTAAAACCTGATAAATGTGTATTTGGATGTGTAGAGTAATTCTTTCCAAATTGTCAGTGACAAAGAGGGAGGGTTCCATTTTCATCAGTGAATCTAAACGGTTAATGAAAAAAATGTAAGGTGTTTAATTCTTTTCGCAGGTCAATTTATTGTATCTCAACTTGGTCAGTGAATGCTTTGAGGAGTACCGGTATTTTCGTTACCGGTGCCACAACCTAAATGCAGTGCTGGATGAAGACATTAAGTGCCCAGCTTGTCCAAAGGTATACCCACTGCATCTTTTGATATAAAGTACTTTTTGTTTTTAATAGAAATAGTTTGGGTTTGTTGCTGATTATGTTTAGTTGGTTAACTTCAGTCCTTTTTCTCCTTTAATTTCTAATGTTTGGTTATGTACTGTTTTTCTGCAGGAAAATGGTGACTTGTTTGTTAGTCTAGACGCCAACTTCGGTCTTGTTAGGAAGCGAAGCTCAGGCGTGAGCTACACCGATGCAAAACACAAGTCCCTCCTGTTTGCCCCGCAGGAGGACGTAGACCACTTTGTAAACGTGTACGATGACCACAATATTTCTAATGTGAGTTTACAGAATTCCAGTTCCAGATGCACGTATTACTAACAGTCGGGGTATGTCAACATGACTTGTTTTCCAAAATTAAGTACTTACCACAAGCATGACAAGTAAGTTACTTCAATGTTAGTAAGATTTGAAGCCTTGCATAGCAGTAGTGTAAACCAGTGAGAGTTTGCAGTAACACCATGTGCAGAATCTTTTCAATCTCTTTATATTGTGTGCAAGATATGTACCTTTTTCAATTACAACTATTTGTTTCCCATGGAAAATAATCATTTTTCCTTAATAAACCACATCATCTGCATCTCCTTGCAGGACTGCAGCAACTTCCAAGCCGGCGACGTTCTTCGTGCCAAAAACAAAACCAAAAAACTGGACACAACAGGTGTCTTTGGAGCGTCGTGTCGGCATGGTTTTCCCCTGTCATTTCTCAACCTGCGTCATGGAGAACGGTATGTGTAGATTCAAATAGCAACATGTAACATCTTACATGCTACTGATATGTTTTCTCTAATCAAAGTTTTCATGCCAAGTGAAGTAATGCTAAGTTACTCTACATTTTCACATGTTTGAATTCTTAGTTTCATTTGTACAATGACAACGTGACCCTAAAAAACGGTGTGCATGCAGACATCTTTAAATTTCTTAATTTCTAACGAGAGGGAAAGGACCGTGGTTTCCGGAGATAAAGAACCAAACAGGAGGCAAGATAGGCTACTGTGATATTGCATTTCAGGTTAAGTACTACGCCAAAGATGACAATTTTGTCTTTCCTATAACAGCAAAAATTAATCTCACACTTCAAAATGTTACACTGTGGTACATAAATTCCCAATGTTTTATATGGTCATAACAGTTACAACTACGTGAAGTGCAAGTGTTCTTCATTAGTTATATTACCGAATATGCTATAAACACCGCAAAAAAGATAGTCCACACTCGTTGGAGGGTTTACAATTTTAAATCTGATCTGTATATGATACTGTCATTTGTATAGACCTTTAGGAATGTTGTAAGCTATATTTTGATACCCTGCTTTCTACTAAAGACTGTAAATTGTAAAATATTGGCAATGGTTTATGAAAAACGATGCACTTTGAAAAGTTGCAAATTTAATTTCTACTTGACATTGTGAAACTGCCCAATCGAATCAAATGAGGTCATTGTCGAAAAGTGTGCTTAATAACTGTCTGTATAAATGCTCCCAGCATGCTGGGGGGGGGGGGGGGGGGGGATCGCGCATGTTCCACTTGCAGTATTTTTTTATATATTTGCATTAAACTGTTTGCATGTTTTGTGTTGTAGTATTCACTTTCATCGCCATTGTTACTCTGACAGTTCTTCGGCCTTCAAGTTGAAAATCATTACCATTCCCATTTTGTTTATCATTCTGATTTCTAGACTCGCATATGCAGCTTTCACCATAGACTGCATACTGGAGAAAGCACAACCATCCGTCAAGCTTCATGTCATCTATGATATTGCCTGTACGCTCACTGCCCACTTCAAGGTGTGTTTTTAACTATACTTTAAACTAATTGTCCGATTTGTTTTATTTTTACTGTTGTCTGCTCGTTAGGTTTGTGAAAAATTGTAATCAGGCATGCATGTTTTTCTCGTATCTACTGATTTACTTGGGGTTTTTTTGCATCTCGTGAGTGCCTTTTTAAATTGAAAAATACTTTATAAAGTCTTATGTGGTTTGGAAATTCCTAATTTTTTCCAAATTCCCAGTTTCATGCCTGGGTAATGAACAATGTGCATCATGTTACAGGTAACAAACCATTTCATATCCCACGTGTGTGTACACTAAAAGTTTTTATGTAACTCCCTTGATTTGTCACAAAGTTTATTTGCTTGAGTTTGTCTTTGCTTTTGTAGAAAAAAAAGGACAAGAAGCTTGAGCTGGATATGGCACTCCCTGTGTTCCATGCCTATGGGCACAAAATGGCTTGCCAGGTATGAATCCCAATGATGATTTAGTCATTGTTTGCAACAGTGATGCTCAACAGCATAGTAATCGGGGAAAAAATATGTTATACTCCTTGATTAGTGCATGGTAACTTTTTGTTGCAATTAAAATTGATTGTGAAATGTTGTCATATTTTTTCCAAGTACATGTACTATTATCACCATTATAGTTAGATGTGTTCGTGATTTAAGATCAGTAGTTGATTAATTAACAGTAGTTAATTTGTTGTTCAAGTTTGTTCTTTGAAGAGCTAATAATTTGATGTATTTTATTCTACAATCATGTAGATAACAAGTTATGGTTTTGATATTTTTCATCATTCCATCAATCTCCCTACAGGTGGCATACAGCACCAGATGGCGCTGCGGTTACGGGCTGACAGATGGGGAGGTGATGGAGAGGCTCTGGTCCTACTTAAGGCGCTTCTCATCTATAACCAAGGAGATGACACCAGCCCATAGAGAAGACCTTCTTACAGATGCTCTTCTGCATTACAGCCGTCGGAAAAGAGCTGACATTGGTATGAGAACAGTTTTGGATCAACTGCATCATCCAAAATTACCAATATCTTCACCTTTAAAGTTTTGATCATATAGCTTGAATCAATACGTGGAGTAGGGTTTCTAATTTTTTTTAACATATAGTTGTTTTGCACATACATGATTTTCAATTTCGATGCCTGGCAGCTGTTTGAATAGGTCAATGGTTTGCAAAAAAAAATATTCATGCCAACTACTGATATTTTTCACATCTCTCACAATGGTTTGTGTTGTATTGATGATGAGATTCGTGTTAACCCTGTCGGTTCATTCAAAATGCACACAGAGGCTTTACATAATTCTATGGAATCAGGGAATGCATTGCCTATATGAAGGGAAAATACAACATAATTTTCAGAAATTGATGGATTTGGGAGATTAATATTTTACAGCAAATATTGTTATACTGACTTGCTTGAAGTTTTGTGTTCGTAGATTCTAGGAAAACCAAGAAAAAAAAGTTACGTTCTTAAAAAAAATTACGTTCTTGTAGTCTGGTTCCCTGAACTTGAATTGAAATGAAGCAATTTACAGATGCCAAGGAATTGTAAGGTCAGGGAACCAGTGTAGAAGGCTTGTACCTATTCAAAGATGTGAAATTGATTGCAAACAAAATTCAAACTAACTAAATATGGTAAATTGGGGGCAGTATTTGAAAAAAAGGCGCCGGTCGGCAGATCAGTGTTGGAAATTGATCCAAAAATACAACTTTTCTTGAAAATGTCAACTTTTCTTGAAAATGTCAGGACTGTCAGTCCAGTAAGGTATTCCATAATGATCTGGTATTTTTGTTTTTTGATGTTTGCAAATGTTGTATATTCCCTTTAATGTTCAAGTAAAAGGAAATGTGCTATCGCTGTCATGCATATTAGATGTTTGAAAAAATCAGAAAGGTGCTTATGGAAAATAGCGTGGGATTAGACATCGTCCGATAAATTTGACAATCAAGGAGAATTGTTTGCAACAACTTTTTACTGAACTTGAGAATATCAGCAATTACTTGTTTCTTTTTTTGTTTTTATATACATTTAGGCAGCAGCCTTGTACTTTTGATGGACAGAGCAGTTAGAGTTAAAGAGGATTCTAGCAAAGCACTTGAGGAAATATGTAGTGACTGCGCAGGTAATCTATGTCTATGAAACTTACACTTGACACAATAAAATTAAAAAGAGTGTGAAGATATATAATTGACATGAATTACATTGCAAATGACCACTTATCAACAAACAAAACTAAAATGTTGATTGGTCAATTTCCTTTCACATTATATAGATAAATACATATAATTATGTGATACACATAGTCTCCAGTTTGATTTGTGTTTAATCTGGTACTTAAGAAATGGGTTCTGAAGAATATCATTTTTAGCAATGCATTGATACATGCAAATGCCTTGCTTTAGTTACCCCATAACATGCCTTCTGAAGTTGTTTGGTTGAATTAGCAGAATTGTTCAATTTCCTGAAATAAAGATCATACATCGTATTCTACTTTTCCAGTGTCACTTAAAGATATCAAGGATTGGAGGGAAGCAGAAAAGTGTCAAGTCGATGTCTCAAAGTCATCCACAAAAGGTATCAATCTATGTCATCACCATATTCATAGATTTCTCTGGTGGATTAATATTCTATTTTTAACCCCCAAAACAGAAACATGTAGATGTATGTACATCGCCATCATTAACAGAGTTTAAGGGCCATCAAAGTTACCCATCAGGTATACTAAATTTAAAATAACATGGATGTTGGCTTCCTCACTAAAAGTACGTTTTTGTGTAGTCTGGACTCTATTTGTTCTTTGTCTTGTGCAGGTCAAGTCCCATGGGAGGAAAAGTATGTGCAGAAACTGCTGCATTATGAACAGAGAAAGTAAGTGTTGTATTGTATGTACATCTTCAAGTGATGTACTTTGTACATGCTTGGGACTGCTATAATAGTAGTACTATAAATTAGAAAGTACATGTCTTTAGTGTCTGTAGTATTCGAATCATCACTCTCATACTTGAAAGTAGCTTGGATGTTCAGAAAATTTGTCAAGAAGTTAAACAGCAGATAAATCATCATGTGGTGATCAATAGAGTAATTATCAAGCTACACTACTGCCGTGTAACATGAAGTGGTTCTTGCATGTATGGCGGGTGTAGAATTTTGAAAAGAAATGAGATCCCCAAGTTGCAAGTAGCAAAGACTTTGTGTTTGAATGTTACTTGTTATTTCTCTATTTGTGTGGACCTTTATACATGTAATTATTGGTATCCTTCGTACAGCAGTTCATTTTTCTTTTATTGTACATTTACAAGTTCCGTATTCTTCTCATTTGCACCTATTATATCAAAATTGAAGTTGTGGTCGGCAGATCATGTTCATACATGCATTCATGCATATGCACGCCTACAACTTTTTGCTGCCTTTGGCAAGGTTGGAAATAATAACAAAAGAGCAACTTAACTTTTGGAATAAGTCAACGAAATTCATTCTAGTTAATTGTAGCATGTTCCTTTTTTATTTCGTTACATAGGGAACAACTGGCACTGTGTGATGATGACACCAGGGCTGGAATGCTTGCTGGCCAATGTCAAGAGTAGGTCTTAGTGTTCATTGCTTAATTTAGTTGAGAGGGTTTTTCAGTTTATGCTTACTTAGGTTATTGTATTAAAATGTTCATCCAGTATACATCGTTATCATGTCTTAGTATCACACTTGAATGATTCATGGAGGAAGGAACAAAAAAAGTCAGAACTCTAGTACTTGAAAGTGTTACCTGATCGTCACCGCCCATCTTGCCTTACAATTGTTTTTCTCAGAGGAGCAGTGACAAACCTTACTTATTATGCAGCATATAGGGAGGTTGATGGTTACCAACTAAAATGGCAGCAGTGATCATCAAGTACAAAGGGTGCTTGCGGTCATGCAATGAATGGTCCCGGCTTGTGGGCACAGTGCTTTAGCCATGGGCATTCCTGAGGGACTGGAATGTTAATAGTCAAATGTTAATAGTGCATGAGTTCTGACTCCTCCATGATTGACTAGACTACAATTTGTATAAATGTACTTGTAGTTTAACCTGCAGTACACAGATGGAGTATTTGCTGTCTGGCAATACATGTTATCAAATCATACAAATTGATTTGAAGTTTGAGGTACCTTTTGGCCCAAGATGTTATTATGATAAATATAGATTTATTGAGAAATACCTGCTGGAATTTAATTCTTTGTTTTTATTTTGTGTGTTGGCATAGTACACAATAAGTGGAGGAAATGCAAACCACCTGTATTGGTGAAAATACATTGGCATGGAAAATCCCTTTAAATGCAGTCACCTTATTTTTTTGTTTGTTCTAGAAATGTTTATTGCACAACTCAGAATGGCATTTATATTACTCACACTTGTGATGGTAAATTACATCCTAATATTTGTCTTTTTGGGAAAAGTATAACACTATATAAATTTTGAGAAAACAATTGTCGTTTTCAAACAAGGTTAGATCAGGATCTGAAGACCCTCGAGCAGAGGCATGGCATCCAGCGCTGGTGCAACGACAACCCTGCCTTCATAACCCACCTGGCAGTGATGAAGGGAAAGCAGCAGGTGGCACTCATCCAAAAGCTGTGGTCACATGCTGTTGAGTACACCTTTTTTTTGGACATGTCCAAAAAGTATTCAGGTATGGAACTCATAACATTGTTTACATATGAACGCAAAACATATCTAAAATTATAAGCCCTCATTCAAACATTCACAGACAGTTAAGAATTAAAATAATTGATTAGAGCAAGTGCATTAGACACTGTGACTCGTTAGACAGGCATGCACCTTTTCAGCTGATCAGCTGATTTCCTCTTTTTTGACCTCCCATGTGTGCCATTGAAAATACAAAAACACTTTACAAAGTCTGGGAAAAATTTGAATTTCCTCTTTTTTTGTGGTTTCCCAGTTGCATGCCTTGGTAGATAAACTCCAATTCTGCTTCATATTGTTACCCGATAATACCATACTAAATCATGTTGAGTCAAAGCATGACTGTAATCATATCCCTTTAAAGATCAATGTTGTTATTGATTTCGACCATACAGCTTATTTGATCGATCGCTTGACACAAACAGGGACCCAAGCTTAATTCTTTGATTGGAAAGGCTTTCATGAATTACTTTTCCAAATGTCATTGATTGCTGTACAGAGGGACAGTCTGTGGCCACCAGACTAAGTAAGCAGATACGGAAGTCTTCCAAAGCTTTGAGGAAACTGGTATCTGCTTACAACAGCTGTGACTTCACTACACCACCGTCGTCAACATCCCACAAAGATGTGATTGACTTGACTTCACAGCTGTACACAAACTTGACGGTGACAAAACAGGTAGAATGAGGTTTTAGTACTTTGTTTAGTTTGATTGTTTGCTGTTTGATTTACCTCGGTTTTGAATTTGTTAAGTGTTGTTTTGTGTTATTTTGATTCTTTCATTTTTATCCCCTGGCTTTTTAAACCAAAAGGGTGATATTGTGATCGTTTCTTCCTTCTGTGCGTTTGTATGCCTAGTGCGTGAGTATGTAAACACAGGCAATCACGGACTAGGGACAAAAGAGTAGGGACACAAATAAAGGGTCCACGATTGACCGTTAGTGCAAGATTGAAATTCGTGTACAAAACCAATGAGAGCTGTTGCTAAAAGTTACAGGACAGACAAAGGAATGAGGATAAGGGACAATGGGGGTCCGCGATTGCTGGTGTTTACAAATATGGGTGTGTCTGTATGTGTTATATTTTGGTTTTGTTTACTGTTTAGTGCTGTCATAAAATAAGTCTGTCTTCAAGCTCAACCAAACTTGGTGACAATAATAGTTGGGTGAAGGAGGGCTTCAGATGACCTGAGACATTTGAGTTCAGATTTCATCTAGGAGTTATACATGTGTATGAGGTCATTGGTTATGACGTTTTGGTTAGGTCAACTGAAAAGTGCTGTCATGTGAACTGTTGGACTTAAGTCTCAACCAACTGAAAAGTTAACTGAAAAGTGTGCATACTAACCAACTCTATAAATACTGCCTGTGCCAGTGTGCCTTGGTGATGAGCAAATTTCAGTTACAGTATTTCTGTCATTTTGAATAAACTTGGAAACTATGCAAGTATAATGATTGAGTTTTTGGGAGGTATTCTTGTCTCCTGCTACTAACAAAATTTTAATCTGCAGAAACCACTTTGTCCAGTACTTTCCTCTGGCCCTACTCTTTACACTTCAATGTGTTCTTTCAGATGGAAATTGGTCATGCATATTCTGCATATTACCAAGTTCAGAGAGCTGACACATGTGTCATGTTAGTCGCTCTCAAACATGCACAGAGCCATGCATAATATATGGACATGTGTCCCAAAAATATTCATATCAATGCATCACTGATTCCCCTCTTCCATTTCTTTTTCCTTGGATTGAAAGGGTAGCACACCCATTCCCTCCTCAACACGGCGAAGAGCTGTCGATCTCATCAATTTGAGTGACCGGGCCAAGGAGGAGACTGCACTGGTTGAGAAGGAAATGGCTCGAGTTCTCCAATCAGTGTCAGACCGACACAACCAGTTGGTGGCACTCGTGAAAGATCTGCGCTCGGCTGAGGCTGATAGGGCTGAGGGCCTGCTGTTTTTAGTTGGGAATGCCATCCAAGAGCAAGAACAGCTGCACCTCAATCTGGAAAAGTGTTTTTCAAATTATATTCCCATATCATCTTGCACCCCATTTTTCAGGTCTACCATACTTTCAGCAATTTCTCCAGAACTTTCACCATCAGATGAGACTCCACTGTCTTCAGATTCTTCATCTGACGAAAGTGAGGATGAAGCTGTTAGTGATTGATTTCTAAACTGAGCTGATATACTGACAACTCATCCATTTGGTTGATTTTGTGATTTTGTTATGTTTGTGTTTTTTGGTTTTAAAGGTCACTTTTGGAAGTCTTTACGCCAACATTCCAAATTCTTGTCAAAATCAGTCATATTAACTAATACAGAATTTGACCTAGCTACGTTATGTTATTTACGTTGAAACTGCTTGATATAATATTCTCATTTTAATCTACTTATGCATCAAAATGATCAAACATTGATAGCAGACTGTGTCGCCAAGAAATATGTTTAATGCAAGCCCGCATTACAGAAAACAGAGCATTTTCTTATTGGTCAGTATGTCAGGGCCAAAGTATGTCTTCAACGATGCTTGCTTTCTTTGAAAACACAATTACCTTCTATGCTGCAAGATATATATATGTATATATATAATGATGCCCCCTATTTTTGTACCTGTCCAGTATGACCTTTTTGTAAATAAGAACAGGTTTAATTCGCTGTCCATTGATCACAGTAATGGTATGTTTTGCTGAACATCAACATTAATCTTTATTGTGATACGTGGAATTTTGGGGTTTTTTTTACCGTGTATATGTCTAAAAGTATAATGGGAATAGGCCTAGTACATGAATGATTTGGATGAATATTTTGTTAACAGGTAGCGTATACACGTACAATGTCCTTACAAGTGCGACATGCAGAGCTTTGTTGAAAATATGGGGCTCCCTTTGGGTTTGATGATTTTTTGTCTCGTCCTCGATTTGTATTTTGAAGTACATGTATATACATGTATAAGTTAACCTTCCCTTTACTATGATTGTCTATTTTTTACGAAGAAATTAGATGTTAGCAAAGCTTGATCCAATCCTTCCAAAATCTGTGGCCGCATTGTGCTAGGATTTATGTTTTCATGAAAAGAAATTTCACACAGAATATTCTCATATCAAATATGCAATGTTCTTATATCAAATATTCATTGAAAAAAATGAATAGGCCTTTTACATGAAACCATAAATACTAGCGCAATGCAGCCATACATTGTGGACGTTTTGGAAACACGGGTTATTTTGATTGAAATCATCAGTTGAACATTGTCTTTCCTATAAAGTAGACCTACAAGTACTTTCAGAAAGACTGCAAATGTGCAGTCTATTTTAATATTATTAAGTTCATTTTTATATAGACCAAGTATGTTTTGTTTCAATTGAATTAGGTGTATTCGTGCTGAACAGGAATCCTTCAATAAGCCAAGTCAACATTTCACTCATGCATGTGCAAACTCTCACAAACAATGCATTTTTGTTTGATAAATAAAGCATGTCCAAATGTTCCGTTGTTTAAGTTAATTCACTATAACAATTAAAACTATTTATTCTCAGATGTCAAATTCATCCCTCTGCTTATCTATATGTGATTCATTATATCCTGACTAGGTGTTACAATTAAATTTAATAATGAAACAGAAACAATTGTTCTTGAGAAATCTGTTCATGAACACGTGTGTTGCTGATGTATTGGGTACATGTACATTTTCACCTTGTATGTACAACATTTTAACAGACATTTGGGTCAATGTTCACATATTCATTTACTCAACGTGAATATGATAATGTTAAACGTTTACGGAGTATTTCTTTAGCAAGTTAGGCATATACCCGTGCGGCTATTTTATATACGAAATGTAAATAATAATTGACTTAAAATTCTTAAAGTGTCTTAACCTCTTATTTATGTCATAATTCAAGTGAACAATGCCTGGCCTTCATTTCTTATAATTGTACTGCCTTTAATGTTAACAGCTTACAAGTATCAAACAATAAGGAATTTGGATTGATAAGTTGTCATTGCTTCGGTATCAAGCTTGGTCTTCATATGAAAACAAATGTCGGAATTTCTGAGATAGTTCTGTGAATGTGAATCTCGTAATCAGGTGGTTAGTGATGTAAAGATTTAAGGACAAATACTTAATATTACGTAGAAGTTGTTATCATTTTTTTTATTTGTGAAATCAAATGAAAAAGTGCATATTAAATAGACAAATAAGGTCATCCTTTTATAGAATTATAACAAAAACCTGGGACACTCTGAGCAAACGCAGGGTTTGGCCAACTTGGCCAGCATTAATGTCCGTATATTGGTTACTTGTAGTTACTTCTTGTGCGTGCATAGTGGAAGATAACATGGAATAAAACTACTCTGCATGAAGTGATACTGGTGAACATGGCCTTAGTTTTTTAAAGTTCATTAGGTCATCGCGTCCGTAACAGTAACTATAGGATTCCCCGTAAATCAGTGTATCTACTCGTGCAAAACTGTTATTGTCTGCAAACAAACTGACAAAACGAGGGGACGGAAAATGTTGCGAACAAAACCAACCGAACATCAACAAATTTGGATTTGAGATATTCAACTGGGCATTTATTTTGCCTAGCTTGATCATGTGGTCCGTTAACTCATTTATTAATTGAAGTATATCTTGCGCACGAACAGGTACCCGTCCCTGATAATCGATGGTGCCCCAGTCGACTCTGTCAACAAAGACGATACAATTATTGACTTAATTACAGTTGAAAATTTAGAATTGAAGCTCGATCGACTACATAAATTAATTATGATTTGAACATTCCCCGCTTTCAGGCTGAGCCTTGGTTCGTTCATGGTTCGTTATTTGCCAAAGTATAGAAAGTTTGGCCATTAGGCCCTATGATAAGCGCTTAGCAGGGGCGGATCTGGGGCGTGGGGGTCAACCCCCCCCCCCCCCCCTCCATACAAAAAAAATGCAACTAAGGCCAAAAAAAATATTCGGTCTCTGGTCAGACCAAAGTTCCGGAATTGACGCGGCCACGCGGCTTTTTTTTTTATTTTGCTTTTTTTTTCTTTCTTCAAGCTTCGATTGTACAGACAAGGTGGGTACTATTTTGCTTTTTTGGTGTCCTCATGTACATTGGTGTCCTCCATAATTTGCCTTGGTGCTTTCGATCATTTGCCTTGGTGCAATTTCCCATTCCTTGGTGCTCTTTGGTAAAAATAATTGAGGAGGTGCGGAAATAGAGGGCGCTGTTGGAGCTACCGCGGAACATTTTGGGAAAAAAAGATCGACGCGCATGCTTAAAATCGACGCGCGCGCTGACCAGAGACCGACTTATTTTTTTTTTTGGCCTAATAGAGAGAAAGAGAGACTTCAACTAGAGAGGAAAGGGAGGGATGGACAAAATTAATAGGGAAGTTCACGTTAGACCGTAGCCTGCTATGATTAGTTGCACATAAGACTAAAAATTAAAAAGCGCCAGGACAGAAGAAAATGAGAGACAACCCTCGCGCGACCGGGAGGGGGATCGACGAGCGAGACGGGGTGGGCACGCGCGACGAGAAGAAAATGCACCCAAACCTATCGACCAGGGCGACACCCCCCCCCCCCTTCCTTCAGCCCTCACGTGTTTCGTCCCAAACATATAACAGTTTGATGTTATTGCTCAGGATAGCCGATTCAATGACTCCAAACTCCGAGTCGATGATATTTTGTTTAGGATAATCTTTGCCCCCCCCCAAAAAAGAAAATGGTTAGATGGATACTCGACTGAGAGTGCACCACAGAGCATGTAAAATCTAAAATTGTCACGAACTTGTCACAACTATAAAAATCAATATACATGTTACCAAATATTAATTTTAATATCCTCCTGTTTCCGTTCAAGAATCACTTTACGAAAGGACTGTTTACTGCCGAAGGCTTCTGTTCTGTTATTTCGTCGCGCGCCGGGGTTTGACAGAGCACTCACGCCTGTATGGCCGGCTGTATGCATAGTAATGACTGCCATACATTTACTATGTAAGAAAATAATGAATAAACAAATTAATAAATATATGAATAAATAAATAAATAGAATAAACACCGACTAAAAGGATGCCTGGTGACTTATAGGCCTAAGCATCAGTAACGAGAAACGCACAGACACTACGATAAACTCGCAACAGTCTAGTCTGATTCGTTATCGACAGTGAAAGCTTTTATCCTGACACCTGGAGAACTGATACGGGAAACATTAATCTCTTCGATGTAGCATGCCTTTCAAACCGTTTAGATAACAGAATTAAGGCTAGTTAGTTCATTAAGTAATGATTTTGGATGACAACGAAGTGTAAATTTGACAGAAACAGTAAAAAGACTTGCACAAGTTTGCTGTTACAGGGCGCCCTCTCGCACTGTGTTGTTAGAAAATAATTCACGCACAATTATTTTAATGCGATAAAAATATCAATTAAATATATCCTCTACTTTTTTTTCAGTATAATTGAGTTTATTTAACGGAGAAAATACCAGAGAAAACATAAGCGTTACAAACAAGTTTGATTTAATTACTTCATTTTTGGAAGAAAATTCCCCTCTGACGGAAACGAATCATGTTCCTATTGTGTCTTCCGAGTCTAGTTTCTCTTATCTGTGGCCTCAGTTCCAAATTATAGGTAAGGTGGATCGGAGATGTTTGCCAAGGATAAAAAGATGAATCGCCATGTCAAACGTTGATATTGAGTTGTTGTAATATTGGTACTTAGCTCGCAATAATTAACTAATGACTTATAAACAAATGTTTTTCGAATACGATGCCAAATTCATAATTTGCACCGCGCCGGGGACGCGTACGTCCGTCTTTATTATCTTATCTATACTTCATTTTCTTACTCGTAAACCGTGTAAAATCACGTCACGGGGTAATGTCTATTGTTAATGCTTAAGTTTTAGCCAAAAATGGCACTTTATGCAAAACAGGCATTGTGTTCAATTGGATAGGAAACTGTAATCGCACGCCGCCCCTAAAGCTTTCATAAACATTTACCGCCCACAGTATGTAAACTATAATATGTAAATTTTGCAGTCGGATAAAATCATGATCTCATTGTAAGCGAGTTTAACTTTTAAAGTGCCTTTTCTCACATGTTAAATGTGTTATTGGTGAAACCCTTTCTTATAACTTATTGGCTGTTCATTTTCACGTCCAATACGCGTAGGCCCCATATACTATTGTCTGACAATGACCAGCAGGAATTGCGACGGTGAACAGTGTCAATGGAAAATTGTTGTATAGCACACACTCCCCCCCCCCCACACCTCTACATCCCCGGATGTGTCTACGTTGGAAAAAAAACATGTCCACCTCTCAGAACAGATGAAACTTGGGCACCCCGCCCTCATGACCCTACTCGCCCCCCCCCCCCCTTCCTGGTATGAGAATCACGACTGCGTCACTGGTCACTTTGTGTCTTTTTGTTCGACTTCATATAAGCAAAAATACAGACTACAGGAACTTAACAACTGAAATTTGTATTAGGTATAAATGTTGTTTAAATTTTGTATATTCAGAGAAAGCTGTATTGAATTACTATTTCATGTTAATCAGCATCCAGGACACGTTTCATTCAGCCATTGAAACTACTTGATGTCACAAACCGTACCAACGGTACCCATTCTCGGATTTGCCGAATTACTTCACTTAAAGAAAAAACCCGGCATTTTTGGAAACAATGTTTTATTGTTTTCTTCGAAATGACACAGCATACCTGAAAGAAGCATGAATAGCCTGTGGCGACCGATTCAGTTGGATAGAATTATTGGAAATTGGCATTTAATGTATTAAGCTGGATCCGTACTCATTTTAAGCCGGAGTACCAGTGAGAGTACCACCATGCAGTATGAAATTGTTATTGTTTAAAACCGGCAAATTTAGTGCCCTCATACCGTGCTGTCAATCAGTGTGACCGCTTTAAGTAGATTTTGTTTTTTATCAGTCACACCTCTGGCGAGTGGGCTCAAATTTTGAGTTAAGCAGAGTTTGAGTTAGAAAATGCATTTTCTTTGCATTAAATTTCCCTGTAGTAAATTCAAGTGCGGTTCTACGAGGGGGGGGGGGGGGGGGGCAAAAACAGAAGCATCTTTTGTCTCCCCCCCCCCCAAAAAAAATCCATAAAAAATGGCAGTAGAAAATGTTAAAAGGTGATGTCACAAGCGAACGGCCTGCCTCCTAAAAAAATAGTCGGGAGAAGGATTGTCCGCTCCCCATCGAAAATATGAAACGAGCCACACCCACTCCCCTGCCCACCGAGTGATTTTCTGAGTGTCCGGAGAAAAAAAAAAAGTTCTACATTTCGGCATGCCTACCTGCAAAATTTCTGGATCCACGAACGAACAGCAGGTATAGTGTAATGTACTCTAATGACGTGCACAATCACATATGTGTCAATTTAACACACCCCCCCCCCCCCCGAAAAAAAATAAGGAAAACAAAATATTTTTTAAGAAACGTATGATCAAACAGAATCGTGGTAGCAGGTTTTTGCTAAAGTTAGCATAATTTTGAAATGCAAATCTGGCCACCTTGGTCACGTGACAGGAAACTTTTTTTTCATCACCAGAACCATGCTGCGCAGCGCCGCGCCGCAGCCGGGCCACGGGCAACGGCCACCTGGCCGGCGGCGCGGTACCAACATACAGTACAGCTCAGCTCATCACGCGCGGCCGGTGCTGGCATATCGTATTCTGAACATCGAAGTACACCTCTAATCAAGACCGTGTACTTGACTTGTTGCAGTCTTGGCGAAGCAATTCGCATAAAGTTTTACGAGAAAAAAAAGGAGCAGCCTTCAAGACGACACGGAGGTATGTATCCAGCCATGGTGACATTTAAGGGAACTTTAATTCAAGAACACTCTGTATACTAAGCAAATCGGCAAACGTCGAACATGTATTTATGCCGATCTCAGCTGTTCAAGGTGACGGAGAGGTGTGGAGGTGCACCAGTTGTGAAGCTTAGACATTGGAGCTACTGCTTGATGTATATTCCTTGCTCTATGGACTGTGTAGTTATGAACGGATTTTTGTTTTAATGCCCTCTATTTTGTGATTGAACAACATATAAGGAAGTTAGAAAAAAAAATGCAATTTTAATATTAATATATATGCTAACAAACTTATCAATGTTTTTTTCTGTGTTTTTCAGAAGTTTAAAAGTAGGCCCATGGAGCATCAGGAAAAACTTGACAGGCTCTGGGATGAGGGCATGACAAACTATGGGACAGCCGAGGCTAAAAGAAAGGTTGCATTGGCCATCGAAAGAACTGGTTTGACTGCGAAGCAAGTGAAGGTATCAATATTTTCATCCTTCTCAACCAATTGCGGTGTAGATTAATTTATGCCAGTGTTTCATTTATTAAGTCAT